GCCCGGGGACGAGGCGCAGATCAAAGCCTTTGCGGAGGGCTACGGGGTGAAGTTCGATATGTTCAGCAAGATTGAGGTCAATGGGGACGGCGCTCACCCGCTGTGGAAGTGGATGAAGGAGCAGCCCAAGGGCCGGGGCACGCTGGGGAAGTGAGTGCTGGGTGGGGAGGGGGCAATGGGGGGCGGTGCTGCAGCGCAGTTCTGCCCCTTTCAACCTCGGTTTTTCTCTCTCTCAGTGCCATCAAGTGGAACTTCACTAAGGTAGGGGCTGTGTGTGGGTCAGACCTTCAGCTTTGAGATTTGGGGGGAGAAGCCCCGGCATCTGGGTGCTGTGCTGGTACTGGGGTGTGGGATGGGAACGGGCTGAGGGGGAGCAGCTGTGCAGGGCACAGCTCTGCTATAGGGCAGTCCCAGCCCCGGAGCAGAGCCCTGTGCTGCTCAGCCGTTCCCATGCTGCAGCTGGACTCGCTCATTTGACTCCTGCTTCACTCCCCCAGTTTCTTATCAACCGCGAGGGCCAAGTGGTGAAGAGGTACAGCCCAATGGAGGATCCTTACGTAAGTGCTGCCCTCGCTCTGCCTGACCCCCAGCCCCAGCTGAGGGCTCCTGGTGTGTGCTCAGGGCAGTGGTGCTCTCAAGGTGATGCTCCCCTTCGTCTCGAAGGTGATCGAGAAGGATCTGCCTGCCTACCTGTAGAGCTGCGTGTCGAGCTGCTGCCCAGCACTGCTCCCTGCTCCCCATGGGCTCCATCCTCCAGCACCATGACGGTCTGCCTTGAAGCCAGCTTGCTGGTGAGGCAGACCCGAAGATTTGGCGTGCACCTGCTGGAAGAAGGCGTCCCAGGGCCTGGGGGTTCTGCTGGGCAGCCCTTTCCCGTAGCCATAATGTAGTGTCTACTGTCTACTTGCAATAAATCCACTGGAAATGAGTGGTATCTGCGTGTGTGGATGGGGATGGAGCTGATGCACTGCTCCCCTGCGCCTTGGGGGGGGGAACCAGGGTTCAGTGGGGCAGCTGGGAGCTTTCAGAGAGCCAGTAGGGATAATCCTCATTAGTGCTGATAGGGAAATTCCACCAAATCCCGGGTCAGCTGCTGCCCTGAGGAAAAGCTGAAGTAGAGGAGCACGTCTGCACATCCCAGGAGGGAGAACTGACCCTCCACCCTGTGTGTTGTGCTGCACAACAACAAAGGGTCTGCCTCAATTAGATTCCCTGGCTGGAGGAGCTGCAGTGCACAGCAGCACCCAGTGCTCCCAGCACCAGCACTCCCTGTTCAGTGGTGCAAGATGCAGCCTGAGGCAGCCACTGTGCAACCACTCCAAACAGTGCTGTGGTGAAACACAGCGTGGTGACACAGCACGTGGAGCTGAGCTGGGGCTGCAGGGCTCAGCCCTGCCCCCAATGTGGGGTAAGGGTGAAGCTGGGAGCACAGCAGGGCTGGCTGTCCAAGTCTGGGTTAAGGAGCAGTGCATGGGGCAGAGCTGTGCCTGCACAGCAGCTCTGGATGGAGTCATCTGTATGAACAAGAGTGCCTTTATCTGTGTTTTCTGCAGCAAAGCTGGGGAAAAAAACAAACAGATGTTGGCCTCTGACTCGGAGGCCACAGTCTGGGTAGGATCCTCCCCCAGCCCCGCTCCTCCCAGGGGTGGCCCAGTGCCATGGGGTGTGTGGGGAGCACCAGCAGGCAGTGGGATGTTGATCCCAGGCTTGGTGGGAGCCTGGGGAAGGCTGAACAGACAGAGCTGGGACTTACAGAGACCTCACGTGTGGCTCCTTTCTCTTTTTACTGAGCAGATTGAAAAATGATCCTTCTGAGGCAAGTAGAAAATTCAGGAATTATTAGTCCAAGGCACATGTTCTAAAAAAAAAAAAATCTCTTTACATATATACATCTCAATTAATTATAAATACACATAGAAAAAACAAAGGCAAACGACAAGCAGATTAAAAAGTGCTAACAAAAAGGTGTAAGGGAAGAAAAAGAGGGACTCATTTAAAAATACATACAATCAGTAGGACAACTGCATAATAATTTAGTTAAAAGATATAGTTACATATTATTAACCCTGACAAAAACACAGGATCAGGGCAGGGAAGGGTTTTCCTTGAAGGTGCTCTCTGTCTTCCAGAGATGGGGGAAGGATAATTGCATATATTTTAACATCATGTGTCAAAGCTGCCACGTGGGACTCTGGTAACGTGGCACAGTGGTGGGCAAAGGGCACCCAGGTGGGAATACCTCGTTGTGATTCCTGAGTTTGAGTCTCTCTGAAATGGGTTTTCTTGGTATCCTTTTCCCTCGTTGCTGAGAATTCAGCAAGTGCCAAGTGAGTGAATGTGAGTGTTGTGAGTCGAGAAATACTTTAAATAGGAGGGAAAGAGGAGAGCCCTGCTCTGCTGGGAGCTTGGGGGCACGCAGGAGCTCCCATCTTTGGTGTGGGCTGTGAGGTAAGGAGGGTTCCTTGGACACGGGCAAACAGTGAGGCTGGTAGGGAGCAGGGAGCCCATGGGCTGCCCCTGCTCTCAGCACACCAGGGCAGGCAGCCCTCAGTCTCTGGGGTGGCAGCGACCCGTGGCGCTTCCCAAAGCTGGGGCTTCTGTGCCTGGAGGGGCTCAGGGGCTCATGAAAAGCTGCAGCCCCTCAAGACTGACCTTCTGGGCAGGGGGGAACCCCCCTCCAGGTCCTCGCTGAGAGCTGGGCCAGCTGGGGAGGAGCTCACATCCTTCCCCTGAAAGCATCCCGGTGCTGCTTTCAGGGACACCCAGGTGACTGAAGGCAGAGAACAGAAGCAGAGGGGAGGATGCAGAGCAGCTGCCCCAGGGCACCGCCGCCAGTTCCCTGCCACGCTCCTCAGGTTAAGCAGAGAGAACAAAAGCTAAGTCCCCGGGACCTGCCGAGGTGCGAGGTGTGGAGCAGGGCTGGCAGCAGTGCCCTCTGTGCTGGGGGGCAGCTGCTCACCTTGCTGCTGGGGCAGGTGGGGATCTGGGGGAGTGCAGTGCAAAGCAGACGTTTGCTCTTTGGTATCAGAGGTTGGATTTGCAGCATGAGCAGCAATACTGCACATCCCTGTGCTTGCCAGGGACCTCTCTGTGGGGCTGAGAGCAGTGCTGGGTGACACAGCCAGGCCATCCCTGTCCCAGCCAAGAAGCCTTGCAGCACAGGGCTGGGGAGAAGGCCAGGACAAAAAGCACACGACAGCAAAATTTGGGAAAAGCATGGCCAGCTGCAGCAGCCCTGCAAGGCTCAGGAGAGGTCAATGGGACTCGTGGCCCCCACGCTTCAGGCAATCCCTGCGTGGTCCCAGCATGGCTGAGCTGTGACAAACTCAGCAGCTCTGTCACGATCCTGGCTAACTAGGTGCTGGTGCAGTCAGTTCCTGCAACTGCTGCAAAGCTGGGGCAGCTTCAGGGGCTGCAGCTGCAGTGCTCTGGGCTGGGAGAGGCACAACCTGGCTTGGAAACTCAGTAGTCTGCAGGGGATGGGTGTCTCTCCTTGGTCTCACACAGCACTGACCCGTGAGCAGGACTTGAACACAGCAGAGACCATCAGTCCAGATCAGCTGAACTTGGCAGCACTCAACTACCCCCAAGCACGTTATATACAAATCTATACATGCCTGACTGTATATTATATATAAATAAACTTTGCTTTAAGGAACTATAATTTTTTTTTCTTCCCTCAAAAAAAGAAATGGATCAGTCCAAACCAGTAGAAAAGCCAGGGCTCCCTTGCCCTCATCTCTGCACCAAAGGATATGGATTTGCAGTGGCTGAGCATCACCAGGTGCACCCAGAGGCTCTCAGAAGTTTGGGAAAAGCCCACTGAACTGGATCACACTCTGGCGCTCCTGGGGGAGTATGTTCTCTTGAGGGCCCCCATTGAACGTCCTCAGCATGTCCTCCAGGATCTCTCTGAAATTGATATTTCCATCCTGTTGGACAAAATCTTCCTGCTGCTGCAGAGTCTGTGAGGGCTCAGGGTGAGGCAGGGGCTGATGTTCTTGCAGCGAAGAGCTCAGAGGCACGCTCCCCTCCAGGATGGTGTCTGGGCTCTTGAAGGCAGAAAGGTGGCTGAAGCCAAAGGGAGATCCGTGCTGCTGGTGGGGCTGGAGCACAGGCTCCGGGGGGAAGCACAGAGCGCTGGGCTCTGGGTTCATCATGTCAGGAATGCTGTCGCTGGGAGGGCTGTAGGTCAGGTCCAGGATCTCGTCCTGGCGCAGGGAGTGCTGGGGTAGGGAGAGCCCAGGCGCTGTCTGTGTGAGGTCCAGGGGCTGCTGCAGCACGTGCAGGGGGAGGGAGAACTGCAGGCTCTGCTCTTGTGCCTGGAGGAGTCGGTTGTGCTTCCGCTTCACGTTCTCATCCATCTGCTTCAGCTCCTCCAGCACCTTACGAACACAGCTCTCGGGGATCTTTATCCCTAAGGGAGGAACGTGCCTCAGTCCCCAGAGCACTTCAGGAAGGGAGGGAGAGCTGTGGGGACAGAGGCCGAAGTACCAGGGCCCATTCATGCTCCCGCTCCTTTCCCCACATTTCACCTACCAACTTGTTTCTTCTTTTCCTTGGTCTTGAGGCGGACGATCTGCAGGTAGCTGGTGTTAGTGATGTCTGCCATGATGCTGGCAATCCTGCTCCACACCCTCAGCAGGGCTCCACAGAGCATGTAGTAGTGACGCAGGCGCATGCCCTGGAAACACTCCTTCCCCTCCTGGATCAGTTTGCAGCTCCTGTTCCTTCAAATGGGAGAAAACGACCTGAATCAGCATGGCAGATTGTTACACTCACTGCTACAGCCCAGACCCCAACAGCACTGTTGGGGAGCACGGGACAGCTAGCCCCCCACCCTGAGAGCCTGGCAGGTTTGGGGTGTGCATCCCTTACCAGACAGCATGGTTGCACTTTTTCAAAGAGAAGTGATAACAGCTCTCCCAGTGTTCCTTGGCTTCATCAGGTGTCACCTGAAAAAGAAGCAATTACAGGCAGAGGTCAGGATTTTCCACTGTCTGACATATAGCTGACACCTGAAATCCAGGACTGGGAGGCACCCAGGTGCTACCACTGCTTCTGCCTGACGCACAACAGGGATATGAGAAAGTATAAAGGGGTTACACATGCATGTCCTTCAGCCAGCCCTGCTCAAAGATGCTCGTCCCTCTCCCCATGCTGCAGGACTGCAGCTGCCGCCTACCTGCCGGTACTTCTTGTGCAGACTGTCCAAGCTCTCAGGCTGGCTCTGCTTCCCAATATTTGGCTTGTAGAGGATGAAGTTCTTGCCACGGCCCTGCTCCGCCAGCAGACAGGTGTATTTGTTGCCTCGTGTCTGTTGGGGCAGAGCTGATGGTTACAGTCACATGGCTCTTTCCCCCCAGGCCCGTGCTTGTCTGAACTAACCCTTCTCCATGATGCAGTTCTTGGAGGCATCTCCCAGCCCCCAGCACGAGGTCAGACACAACCCAAGTGCCATGACAGACCTCCTCTGAGAAGCTATTCTCTCAGCTGAGGTGGCATCCTGGCAGAGCCCCAGAACCTACCTTGTAGGAGAGGTAGAACCCATCATAAGATCCTGTCAGTTTCAGTGACTTCTCATAAGCTTCCTCCCACTTCAGTCCTCTGTCAACACTGATCTAAATGAGGACAAACACGGATTCTGTAACTTCAAAGCATGGGACAAAAGCATCAATGTCTGTCTCGCAAAACACTCCCTCCTCAGCACAAACTTGGTGCTGCTGCAGCCTGGAAATAGGCTCTGCCAGGCTATGCTCCAGGGCATTACAGCCCAGAGAGCCCTGAGGCAGCACAAGGCCTCTCTCCTTGCCTCCTCTGTGTGATTCCCAGCATCAGTGACCTGCTCAGGACCACAGCAAACATGACACAAGCATGAAAACAGCCATGGGGCAGGGGGAGGGATCCAGCAGTTCACAGCTCCAGCATGGGAAGCAACAGAGAAGACTGGACTGCAGAGATAGCAGTGCAGGCTGCCTACCTTATAAAACACAACCTGCCCATCCTGCGGGTGCCCAGGGGTCAGAAAGACCTCCTTGCTTTCCTCGTAGATCTCATCAATTCCTGGAGCTAAATCTGTAGCACAAAGAAAGACCAAAACACATGCCCAGGTGTAAGATCCATCTCCCTGTGCCACCTCTTCTTCCTGCACAGGAGTCTCAGGATCTGTGCTATGTGGGGCTGGGACCCTCCAGCACCCGAGAAGGCAATGGGGACAGAGCAATAGCCAGTGGTCAACTGGCTGGAGCAGGGAACCTCAGAGGTGCAGTAAAAGTAGTCTGATCACTCCTTTCCTCCTTACCTAGGATGCCCATGTCATATTTGCCCTCCTTCTTGTCCTTTTCAATCAGATAGTCAAAGGTATCAGAGAAATACTGGAACAGCATGTTCTGCTTGTCCACCTCCAGGCCCAGGATCCGGTTGAGGAACTTGGTGATGGAGCAGTCTGCAAGAGTGCAGCAGGGCAGGGAAGACTGAGTAGCTGGCTGACCAGCACATTCCCAAAGACATCCAGAAAGAGAATCCCCACCCTTCTTCAGAGCAGCACAGTAGCAATGCATAAGAGAGCAGCCCAAGGGCTGTTCCTCCAGGCTGTCAGCTGCCAGGTTGCTGCAGAGAAATGCAATCTGCAGCGTGGACTATACCCTACAGGACTCTGCCCTCACAGCAGCAGTGCCACGTTCTGCCCTGCCTGCACAGCAAGCTCCTTGAGGCTGTGTTCTGGTGCAGATGGGGTGGGAGGGGCACAACAATGCCTCTTCCATTTCTCCCTTACATTGGCCAGGAAAAATATGACACGTACCTTTCTCTACTGAGACAGTGCCATACTTCAACTGATTGCAGCAGATCCCAACAGAGATAAGACCTTGCTTCATTTCTGGAAAAAGAGAAAGCAGCTTGAGTATTTTAGGGCTACCCCATCCCAAACAGTAACACTTCCCTTCATCAGTACCCATTATTTCACAGTTAAGTCTGCCCCACATCCATTTTCCCCTTTGCTTGGCAGGATGACACGTATCTGCATGAGCACTGAGCCGTTAGGCCAGTGGCAGTGTTCCCTTTGAGCTTCTGCTCCCAGCTGCTGCTTTCTTTCTTCAGACATCCCAACCCTGATATCGACCTGGCCAGAAAGATGCAGAAGGAGCCCTGGAGCTGATGATGTTCTCACCCTGGAAGAATGCAGCCTCTCCTCTTTCATAGCTCTTGGGCACAGGAACTCTGTTCTCCGTGTAGTTGAGGATAGTGGAGAGAACTCTGTCTAGTGCTTTAGCCCCATACTGTGAAAGGAGACAAGAGTAACACATGGGAGGAAATGACCTGCAGAGAAACCCCGCTGAGAGAGGGCTGTGCTGAGGGATGCTGTGGGTCAGGGACATACCCTGTCCCTAGGGCCCAGAGTGCAGGACCCTACACACCCTCATCCAGCAATGACACTAGCTCCCTGGGGACAGGGGCTGCACCCTTGGGGAGCAACTCAGTTCTGGATGCCACATTTGAGGTGCTGGGTGCTGATGCTGCTAGGCCAGATCCTGCCTGTAGATGCCAGCAATGATCTGCCTGTCCCTGGCTCCTACTGAAGGCACTGGCTTACTGCTTTGACCCCTCCTTGGCTGAGCTACCCTGAGAACAGCTGCAAGTTACCTTATTCTCAAAGTTGTACTTGCTGAGGTCTCGGGATTCAGTGGCCCTTCGGTCTCCGTGAGTTAAGGCACCCTAGGAAGACAGACCAAGCAAAAAATTCTTGCTTTTAGCTGATACAAAACACCTGCCAAGGATGGCCAAATGTTGTGGTTTAACCGGGCAGCTGCTCAGCACCACAGTGCCACCACAGTCCCTGAGCAGCAGCTGCTCCCTGGCCAACTCCTCACAGTTCCTAAAGTTTTTTTCACATTATCTCATATGCTATGGACCCTTTGTGAGTGTAGATCAGCTGCCATGGGTCTGACCCCTCCACCCGAGCTTCCCTCCCTGGTAGGACAGTATGACAAGCTGAAATGTCCTTGGCTCTATGCAGCACTGCTCAGCAACAGCTAAAACATCAGTTTTATCAACATTGTATTTCTCTCAAAGCCAAAACATAGCATCATACCAGACAGCATGAAACAAAAAACCCACTCCTCTGTTCCAGCAGAAACCAGGACACCAAGGCCAGGCAGTATCAGAAGAGGTCTGATACTGAATGTGCTATGGGCAGGCAGTGATTTTCTGGAACCCTGGGACTTTACCAAAGCATTTGGGAATTTATCAAAAGGGAATTAAATGAAACAGAGACTAATAAATTACTCCATATGTTATTTCATTGTGTTTCTGGAAATAGGTGGGTGTGCACTCCTGTAATAGTATGGGGGGAATTCCAGCATCTGGAATTCTGCTTCCTCCAGTATCCTCCCTGTTGCCTTGGTTATTCTTCACTTCCTTTTCCAAATCTTAGGAGGATGTTAAAGGCCTTCTGCATTCCTCAGCTGCAATGCTTTCAAGTTAGGGAGTGATGCAATCCCTCCCACTACTTACAGTGGCCATGCCAGTAAGAATATTGGAATGGAAGCCAATTCGAGTTTCGAATTTAATTCAAAAGAATTTGAGTTAAAGCAGTAATTTATTTGCTGCAGGGCACTTACTAGGCTCTCCAGACGTTTTGCCACAATGGAGGCAAACCTCCTCTCTCCAGCCAGTTCAGAAATAAGGAAGACATACTCTGGAGCAGAAACTTGGTTTGATCGGTGCGTTCGACCTACAGGGACACGAGAACAGAAGGGAAAGAAGAGGTTGGTACAGCCTGTTTGGTAATGAAGAGAAGCTGAGCAAGTGAGAGGCAAAACAACTTTCCATGTCATGCTGGTTTCAAAACAGGTCCTTCCTTTGGGGTAAAAGGACAGAGGTACAGCTGCATTCATCACTCTGTTGCTGCTGAGACCCTGTCAGAGTCGAGTTTATAGCCCTCACACTCCAGGTTTGAGCTACAGAATGCACTAATTCTTTTGTGCTCACGTACTGATGAACTTGCTCTTCTCATCCTACAGAGCCTCTACAGGATGGAACAGAAACCTTCAAGCATGTTTACAGGATGCCCTCTACTCCCATGTATAGACTGGAAGGCTTTTCCCTTTCCATACTGCAAACCACTTCCGAAGTCAACACAAACCCTCCCCACAAATTCAGTCAGACATCACTGCTTTGTGTCTGGATTGCCCTCCAAAAGCAAAGCAGAGGAGCACTGTGCTCTGAAAGATGACATCTCTCAGAAAGCTGGAGGACTGCAGCACCAGCCTGGCTCAGGAGGCCACACATGCTTTTCCATTTCAGGGCTGCTCAAGATTTCACCATCTGCACCATGCTCGGGGGAAGGGGGCAGTGACCAGAGACCCTCAGCCCTCACCGAACTGCTGAATGGCACGGTCTGCACTCCAGGGCAGCTCCAGTGTCATGTGGACCCGGCGCTTCTGGTTTTTCACCCGTCTGTCTGCTTGGAGAGAGATTCCTGAGCTGGAGGCCTCAGAGATTATTGCTACAAGCTGAGAGAGAGAGAGAACATATGAGAAAGGGGTGTGAGATCCCTGTATATTTGCAAAACTGTTACAAGGAACAGCCCAAAGGACAATGGCAGCCCACAGGCCTCCTTGTCACCTCTCAGCAGGACAGGCACAGGCAGACAGAAGGTGCAGAGCTTTGCTGATCTAAGGCTGGCAAGGCAAAAGCATGCAGACATCTTCCCCTTTCCCTTCCCTCCATGCAGAGGTTTGGAGGTTTTCTTGGCTCAGACCTAACTCACCTTCTCCCCATTCATAAAACGCTCCTTCTCCTTCAGGTTGACGTGGTCAATAGAGAGGCCTTGCTCTGCACGAGACTCAAACATGACAGAGCCATCTGGCCTGCAAACCACCCGGCCCTTTCGCCCAGTCATCTGCACAGAAAAGAGAGGGGCTGTTATCAGAGAGGACAGACCTGCATAAGGCACCAGTATGGGGTGTTTAGGAGGTCAATCCACAACAGGATTTTCAGAGAGCCAGGAAGGAAAGCAAGTTCTCTTCCAGCTGCAACTCCCTCTGCTGGCCCTTCTTCCTGTTAACTAGTGCCACTCTATTGTGAAGGAGTACCTCAGCCACATGCTCCGGTCCCCCAAAGTGATTGATCAGTTCATCCAAGGTATTGAGAGGTAGCTCTTTGCCCAGTGCTTTTACTTTTGCTAGTAAGTCCTGCTTCATCTTTTCCACATGCTCCAGTTCTCTCAGGCCATGCGTCTCTTTATGGGAAGGCAGCATGTGAAAATTACCTGCAAATGAAATGCAAAAGTTTAGAGTCACCTGGAAATTGCAAATCAGAGGAGCTCCCATCAGTGAGAAAGGAGCCAACCCCATGCTGCTGGCTCTGCTTACTTCTGCTCTCGGTCACAAAGCCATTAAAGGCGTGCTCAATGAAGATGACATCATCAGTCTCAAGCACAGACTCTGGGGAGGAGTTGAAGTCACTGTCGAGCCCCATGTCAGAGTCGGTGCTGCTGTCATCACTGATCTTGATCACCCCCACGGGGTCACACATGCCCTTCAGAGCCTTGGTGCAGCGGTTCCTATGCTTGCCTGCAAGGGAGAGAGAGCAGGGTCAGCCTTGTGCAAAAACAGCAAGTTCCAGCTCAGAAAGAGGAGAAGAGATCACAATACAGCTCAGCCTGCCCCCAGTGAAAGGCTTATCTCAGAGAGAGAAAGACTCCTGAGCATGGCAGGACAGTTAGGAAGGAAGGGAGAGAGGGGGAAGGGGAGAGAAAGAGAAAGGAAGAGAGAGAAAGGAAGAACAAGGCAATTCGTATCAGGGCTGCAGCTGATTGCACACATCAGGATAGCACACATCTGGTGATAAGCAGTGCTGACTCCTCAGCAGAAGGAGCCCGCAGGTCTGGCTGCCTTCAGAGGAATGAGCAAGCAGTGGGAAGGTGACAGTGTTTTGGTGTTTGCAGATGGGACGTTGTTTACTTCCAAGCACAGTAAGACATGCCCCTGCCATGTGAAAGGGTTCACAAAAATCAGCTTGCACAGGCTGCTCCGCAACAGCAACCTGCCAGGAAAACCTCCACAATCTGCCTGTGCTGCTGTCCACCCTTCCTCCCATCCCACTGGAGGAGAAATTCCCAAACTTCTCTTACCTGCAGCCACAGCCAACGCATTGGCAGGGAAGTCATTTTTTCCCCCAGGACACCTGCCATGCTACGTGTAAGGGGCAGTGGAGGAGCCCCTTGCTGCAAGAGGGAAATGTGCAGCCAGGACTGCTGCGCTGCCTGCCCACCAGTCCAGGGAAGGAAACAGCCATGGGAAGGGGAGCAGCTGCTGGGCAAGTGGTGGAGGCTCAGCCCTACGCTGGTGGCAGGGAGTGGGTTAGGAGAGGAGGGGGTGGTGACCTACAGGGTTGCTGTCCTCCAAGAGAGAGGCAGTGACAGGAGATGTGCGGGAGGGCAAACTGAAACCAGGGCAGAGCAGCGAATGCATGAAGTAGGGAAAGGGGAAAAAGGAAAAGAAAAAGCTGAGTGGCTGGGGTGAAGCAGCAAGGCAGGAGATCAAATGCTGGGCAGTGGAGTGTGCTCTTACGTTTTCTTTTAATGCCAGTTCCTTTTTCTCTCTTTCTTTTGGTTGAAGGAAAGTGCTTCTGAATTAGTGATAGAAAGACGCCTCTGAAAGTAAGATGCAAAATTTATTCTAGCCACCAGGAACATCGCTGGTCATCACGTAGCAACGTGTATCTGAGACAGCAGCACATTTCATCTAAGAGGGGTAAATCCAGCATCACAGCTACAGCATGTGGTCAGCCAGCCACTGCTATGGCATGGCTCTCCAGCCAGAGTGAGTTGCACCAAAGGGCTCTGCAGGAGACACGCAACTCAGCCTTGGGAGCACAGTCTGCACAACAGATCCCCAGCTGTGGGACAGGCGTGCTGAGGGCAGGCTGTGCACTCAGTGCTGGGAATGTTCTGCTGCAGCCTTCCTGCTGGAGCGGGGCCACTCCTGGGAGATGCTGTGACAAAAGCAGAGCAGACCCTGGGTTCTGTGCTGCCATGTGGCACGCCAGAGTTCTGAGACCTTTATACAGCAACTAGGAGGGAGTTTGAAACAGGAAACACGATCCTGGGAAGCTGTTACATCACTAGTGAAAAATGCAGTCAGTCCCAGTCCCTCTCTGTGTTCTGACAGCAGAGACCACTGTCGGGCTGTCAACCAAATGCACTCCACCAAGCCCTTTGGTTAACTGGACATGGGCCCGCTTGCCCACAAAATAGAGAAAAGTGACAAAAATATGGGAAAAATGGTGGTTTGGGGTGAATGGGGCAATCAGAAGGTGTGGGAATTAAATGTTTCTGTGGTCTGCTCTGCAAACAAAAGAACAAATGCTTAAAGGCTGATCACGTTGGATGGGGATGAACCCCCAGTGCAATGAGAAGGCAGTGCTGAATGAGCTCTGGTTGAAAAAAAAATATATGTTGAAAGCAAAAGCTGAAAGGTGTGGACATGACAACTCGCCTGTGGGAGAAAGAGGCTGTGTTGGGAACTGGGAAGGGGCTGTAAGATCCTCAGTGTGAGGGGTGGAAGGACACAGCCCTGCTCCCTGAAGGGGCAGAACCCTGGGCTGGCTGCTGAGGGACTGCAGTGACCAGGCATAACCATTCTGCCTTGTGTGCAGGCTGATGTGAGCCTTGGTACACAATGCAAAGCTCGCTCTCAGATCTGGAGCCTCTCTGCCACTGACCTTGCTCATTTTCCTCCCCCGCTTTCCCTGTGAACAAAGGGCTGGGCTGGTATTCACTCACTGAGCAATCAGCTCACTTTTAACTCTGTTTCTCGGCATCTTTTAAGCAACTGCTTCTTCCCAGCACACTGCCCTCGAGAAATCCCCTGAAGTGCTGTAAAACCAGGACGCTGCAATTAGACGCTCTGTGGATGCCAGCAGACATCCAGATATCTGAGCAATGCTGCTGAGCCAATAGCTCCTGCCCCTGAAAGCAGGGACAGAGCTGAGCAGTGCGTGTGATCAGTAATAGCTTCCCAAAGAGAAAATCTCTGAGAGAGGCTCAAAGGGACCACATGGTTCTCTCACTGAGTTCCTCTGAATTTGGAGATGCAGAAATCAGTTCAAGAGACCAAATTGATTCAAGCAGTTGACAGATTTTCCTTGCACGCTGTCACCAAGCTGTGTTTGTATTTCAGGGCTGGATTGGAGACAACAGAGACTGACACAGGCTAACACAAAGCCTCCCATAGGAAGGGAGGCAGCTTGGTCTGAACTGGACATGCACTGTTCATGACATCACTTACTGCTTTCACTGACATTAAAACCCATTTCAAAAGACAACAGCAATAGCTCTGCTGCCTGCAGAAGACACACAGCTCAATCCATCACCTCACTGTATAGAAGCAGCCAGGGGACAGGCTGGCAATGTGAAAGGTGCTGAAATGTGCCTTTACTCCCAGCTTTCCTCAGCTGGGAAGAACTGTAGAACCCCACCACCTCTCCTGCTTGTGCTTGCCCTGAAAGCCAGCACCACAGAACCTGAACTCCTTGTGTCTCTGACCCCTCCCACCACTCCAGCAATGCTGCCTTGTATCACCATCCCAGCCTCTGCCATGACATGAGATTCCCTCCCTTGTTTCTTCACTGTCAACAGCACTGTTTTCCTGAGTCAGACTCCCACAAACCAGACCTGAGCCCATGTTTCTGATCCTCCTATACCTGCTGGCTCTTTTCTGTGTGCAGACAGATGAGGCTGTTCATGCAAGTTTGGACCACAGGAGACCTCAACAATCCAGGACCTGCCTCAAAGTCACACTAAAGAAACAGTGTCTAAGAACACAACAAAGAGAGTCCTCTCCATTTACAGCTCATGTAAGGTGAGGCCTTTATGAGAGTGAGTTTGTGGAACTGCAGGCTCTAAGTGGCCCCAGGGCAGGGCTTTCTCTCGAATGCCTCCAGCCTCCCATGCATCCCCTCCACAGAAAGAAAAGCAAGGAGTTTGAACTCACTCTGCAGCAGAAACAAAACAATTGAGATGCCCATCGTTCTCATCCAGGACTTCTCGGGTGCGAGCCTCCCCTGTGGACTGCAGGCCGATGACGATGCACTGCAGGGAAACACAAGGATGGCACAGCTGGGGTCAGGGCAAGCACCTACAGGCTCAAGAGATTGCATCTCATGGTTCCAGGCACATCTTCCTTCGGCCCTGTCCAAAGGATGTTGGGCTGTAGCAAGGCTGCAGATCAAGAACCATCTTTCAAACCTCTCTGCACACCAATGAGGGGATAACTTGCTTTCAGAAGCTGGTTTTGCTAAGTAGTTTCTGTTGGGAATTTCTAAATCACAATCTGATAAATGCAAGGATAGGGCTGCGCTAAAGGTGAAACACCTGGAACCACTTCTAGCTTGAACATGGCCCAAAATGCTGTTTCAAATCAGCTTGCTCATGTTCACCAGAAGCAAACAGCCTCAGAAGAAAAGGTGGTATTAACTCCCCAGTATAGATTACTGCAAATGTTCCCAGAAACAATTAACTCTGTTTGGTTACAGACAACAAAACTTCCCTTGGAATCTAAGACTGACAGCTGCTGCCCACACAGCCAGCCTGCAATACCACACCTTGTCCTTTGCCAGCTCCTCCTTGGCAAGCTCAACGAGGCGTCGGACTTTAGCAGCAATGCAGAGATACTTGAAGAAGCGTTGGTGAGCTGACCAGAACTGACCCCACAGGGATTTCCGAGACTCCAAGCCGATCAGATCAGCTGCCTGCTGGAACACCATCAAGGCCTCTGCCCACTGCAGACAGTACCGAGAAAGGCTGAGTTAATATCTTGTTTCTCATTACTGCTGTACATCCAACTGTTAGAACAGTCTGGGGTTTGATAATCTGATTTAACTTCAGTGTTGATGCTGCTGTGTTAGGCTGAGCAGACAGTCTGCTCATTCTCTTCTTTCTGCGTTAGCATGATGCTGCAAATGCTGGTTTGCAAACACAGAACTTGTAAATAGAAGTAAAAAAAAGTACAAAACTACTTCATCTTATGAAAGCTAACGGCACACACCCTTTTTCTCATTAAAAATCCCCAAAGGTTGTGGTCATGGCCCCGTCCAGAGACTTCAGTCACTCCCACATAATAAGTGACAATGCCCCAATCACAAACACTGGTCTCCCCACTGCAGTGGGACCAGCTCACCAACTTTGCTGCTTTGTCATAGACAATCTTGTACTGCTGATCCAGTGGGATCTCCTCAATCCTGAAGGTCACTCCAGTGAAACTGAGCTGCCTGGCAATGTACATTCCGCTGACCTTCATGTCCATTGCCACGATCTCCATTGCACCAACTCCCCTGGAAGAGGGAGACAGTTGTGAGACTTCTTCCTATTCCACAGGACAACACGGGTGAGTGATTCTGCAGAACAACTTCCCATGGTGCAACCTATCCTCAAGCACGCATTACACCCATTTCCTAATGGGGAAAACAACTCCTGCAGCTGCTCTTTCATTTGACTTTCTCTAGAAACTGAGAGGACAGTGTCCAGCTTGAAGATCCCCATGGTCTCTGCTCTTCCTCTGAGCACGTCCTGGCTATTTCTTCTGCTCTTTAAAGGCTGACACTATGCAGGTACAGAGTGCTCAGCCATGAGACTGCTGGGATTGCTTGGACTTTTCTTGTTTTCATGAGCAAACAGGAATTCCCAAAAAGATATCGATTGGGTCTCTGGCCAGCACTTCTCCTCCAGGGACAAACAAAGACTGCCACAAAATTTAAGCCAGATAAAGAAGGATGCTGGACGTGACTTACCTCTTTTCAATTGCATGCAGGAACTCATCAAATGCGTGGAATGGGGTGCCCTCCCCCCAAATTCCCAGGCGGCTCATATAGATCATGTTTTTTGGCTCAGAGGCACCTGTTTGAACAGAATTCACTGTCAGCAAAACCACAGCAGCTGTAAATAGCATTGATTCTAGCAAAGTGAATGCCTAGAAGGATGCTCGCTTGCCATCACGTCTCACCAGACCCAGGGACCTTTCCAAGTATTGTCCAGGCATCTGCTCATATGGTGCCCTTCCATGCTGACAGAAGCTCACCTGTGGCACTGGCGTAAACAACCCTCGCTTGAGGCAGTTTGTTCTGAAGGTCCAACACTGCTTTGCCCATTTTAGTAGAGCTGGCATTTTTGGCTTTGTGGCATTCATCAAATACAATCTGAAAGTGAATGTCAGTTAAGGAGAAAGGACATCTTTTCATTACGAGGATGGCAGAAAATACAGCCCAGATTCCTCCAACCTACTGAACAGCCAGTCCTAGCACGAATGCTGAAAAGGTCAATCCCAGCTGTGCTCTCCCCCCTCCTTCAATTCCACTGCACTGTGGAGGAGGACAGAAGGGCATGGGGAGGACATATGTTCATAAATATGGACGCTGGGCACAAGGCTGCCCTACACAGTTTCTCCTGGTGACGTCAGTTGGCCCCAGGCTCTTCCTTTCCTGGTGAAGCACAGTTCCAACCATCCATTTTCCTCTATTTTTTTTTTTAAAGGATACAACTCCATCAAAATTTTCCCTGCACCAATCCAAAATTTGTTTTAAGCGCGTCCTATGCTGCCCGCCTGCCTGGCTTTCACCAATCAGAGCAGAGTAAGTGGCAAAGAGGACTCCTTCTGAGGTAGCTGTGTCTCCATATCTAATCTGCAGAAAGAGGAAGAAAAAGAGCAGAGGTGCTCATGACAATTGTCCACAGTGCACTGCATCCGTTCTAAGCCCACAGCTCCTACTTCAGATTCTGCTGTGGCTGTGGAAGGCCCATGCTCCTGCCTTCAAGAACAAAACCCAATATGGCAGTAGAGCAGACAAAAGACCACTAGCTGCTGACATCTTTAGCACTTCTCCTTGGCACTGGAATACAGTGATGACAGGGGTCTTAAATGACTGGCTAAGCTCCTTTGCCAATGTGTCAGCACATCTGAATGTATGTAGAGAAATGTGGAGACCACATCAGGCCTTCAATTTTCTGGTCAACTGAATTTGCTTCCTTTTTTAAGCAACAGTTTGGAATGTTTAATTATTTTGAATCCCTCCTATCTATTTTAATTACTTCCAGAAAATAATTTTCTCTTTGGCCAAGTGAGATCACTGCCTCACTGCCATGGATCCTACCTATAACAAAATAAAACGTATAAAGGAAAACAAAACAAAACAGGGTCCTGATCTCAAGAGCGTGGTATTTAAAGCCTTTTCATCTGAAAACAAATCTCTCTTTCAGTCTCCTCGCGGACTGCATTCAGAGGTGTCGAACACATGTGGTTTCCATTGACTTTGTAAGAGCTGGTTGTTCAGTGCTGTTAAAAACCAGAGGAGAGTGCTTCAGCAGGCTGGCCAGCAGTGTGGCTAACACAGGCCTGGACAAGAGACTGAAACACAGGCTGAGCAGAGCTCCATGAACAACCACGACACAGCTGCTGGTCATTTCTTTTGCAAAATAATTCATCCTCACCACTGGTGACTGGAAGGAAGTTTGAAAATTCTCTGATTCACCCAGCTCAGAGGAAATGCCCGTGTGCACAGCACTGTGCTGCAGTCCCCTGGCAGGCACTGATCTGCCCGTTTGTATGCTCTCCCTTTACTTGTATGTTCTGAAAACAGGCTGCCTGAAACCAGAGCTAGGAAAAATTAGCCCATGTGGGCATAGCACAGCCACATCTGACAGGGGCTGTTCCCTCAGTAGGACTCTTCAGAAATGGGGAAGAGCATTTGAGCCCTGCAGAACTTTGCACTTGTATGGAGACATACTGTGCTCCCTGCAGGAAACAGCTCTGTACTCACAGAGCAGCTCTGGAGAGTGTATAAAAATAGAAAGAGTCCAGAGTGGGAAGAACATGCTGAGAGAAGGAAACAGCAAGCAGCTCACTGTCTGCTACTGCCTGTGCTGCCAGCCATGCAGAGGCAGAAGTGACTGCTGCTCTGCACTCTGCAGCAGATCCATCTAACTGCTACCGTAGGTTGATTTTCTAGAACAGCATTACTTCTCTCCTCTACCTTATTCAAAGCATGCACAGGAATGTGGGAGGCTTCAATGTCCTTCAGGTCTCTCTCAGCATCATACTTGAGATCATTGGAGACGCTGAACCTGCAAAGCAAGACGTGGGCCTGGTTATCTCCTAAGGAGACTCAGGGCACGCACAGTGATTAACAGCTCTGACTAAAGCAACTGTAGGTGTATAAAACTGTCACATTTCCCACTGCCCACACACCTCAATGTAAGATCCTACAGCAGACTCTGGTCTGGCACTTATGACAAGCTCAGTCTATTCTGCAGTAAAGCCCCATACTCTAGGGGCTCAATCTGCACCTGGGAAATCCATGAATATCCCTCCACCGACTTCAGAAGAGTAGGAAGAGGCTTCACACTGCACTCTGAGGAGTACAAAATTTGCTGTTTCACAGTGATTCATTCTCCATCACCGCTGCAGGGGAAATATTCCCATTTCACAGAGAGCAAACAGGCACAAAGAGGTGGAAAAGACTTACCCAAGGCCACAACATGAGTCAACTAGAAAGCCAACATCAGCATTAAGGAATTCCTTACTCCCAGATTCACACTAACTCCGAGGTCTTACGGGAAAAGAGGGGAAAAAAACCCCAACTTACCAAAGAGCTTTTTTTCTCCCTTTAAGATAATTTTCAAAGATGATGCCTGCAACTGTCCTGCCCTTTCCAACTCCGGCACCGTCCCCAATGAGGAAGCCAGCTCGCTGCCCATTGGGTAATAAAACTTCATGTTGCTGCAAAATCAAGAGCAGAATTGGAAATCAAACTGGATTTGCCTTTTGCCAGCTGTTTTCACGTGATCTTTTAAGAGCCCCACTTAACCCTTTCATGTATCTCGTAGATATGCATTTCCTGCTCAGATAAGCAATGCCAGGAATGGCAGAGTACCGTGGTTGAGCTCACAAGGCAGTTTGTAGAAAAAGCCCCCAGGCCCCAGAAATTTTAAGCACTCCCTCCTGCAACTCCTCCTGTGGAGTCACATACCTGGCAGGCATAAATGATTGCTTCCAGCTGTAGTGCAGAGAGTGACCCTTTGTCAGCAACGGAGCTTGGCAGAGAAAGGCTGTAGGTGATGTTGGGTGGGGGAACGCTGGACAGAGTGCTCGTTTCAACCACAAGGTCAGGGTGGTGCTTCCCAATCTTGGCTAAATGACACACACAAACACATAAGAGAGAGAATTCAACTTCTTCATTCTCATGGAGCACCTCATGGAGGACTGCAGCTCTCCTCATCTACTCCGTAGCCTCAGATTACACAAGAGACAAGCTCAGTGCCTGCTCTTCACTCTCTTTCATTTCACTGACATTTCAGACTGCCAAAAACAAGCCAAGCCTCCCCTAAAAGCAGACAACAGAAAGTGTCCTGTGAAATTAGTGTAGCACCAACAAAGGATCAGTAGAGTTATCCTACAAAGTCAAAAATTTGGCAAACACTACATCCTGCCTGCACAAAGATAAGGGAGCAGTGAGTTTGGTTGGTCCACAGTGGAGTTAAGAGCATTTCTCATACACGTGATAGCATGACACTCACACTTTGAAGGTACATATTCTGCATAGGTTTCCGTTTGCCCCAACTCTTCTGTTTCTTCCTCATCACCTTCATCCTCCTCTTCTGCAGGAACTTGAGACTGAAAAGAAACACAGCATCAATCAAATGTTAACATTCTCATTGTAATATGAACAACTATTATTTATTCCAACCCAACACAATTCATCTCATTTACAGACTACAGCAACACAAGGAAAACCACCTGTGAGAGACCATCCCAGGGGCCCAGCAAGTGCTTTAAGACCTACTTTCAACATGCACTTCACCACAAACTAGGGAATTTCAGGCAAGCTGTGGGCTACAATCAATTGTGCCTAACTGCACTCTAATCTGACCCTGAAGAAGGACCTAGACAAGCTCTCAACTCAGCAAGGAACTCAGCAGCATAGAGCAAAGTCACGCAATTCCAGGAAGAACAGCCTCTACTGACTGTGCTGATTTAGTTGCAAGGAAAGCATGGTGCATTCTCTAGCAGAGTAAAGTTCCACCACAGGAAATATAAGACATTTCTGGGAAAGGGCAGTGATCTGAAATGTATGTGGTGACCTGGCTGACTTTCTTGTCTCACTCTCTCTGAGGGAACAACAGCAGAAATTGTTCTTCTCTGCATTGTGACGTTATGAAGCTGAGAGCCTCACATTGGGCTCTGCTGGAGCAGATGTTATTCTCACCTGGTAGCTTATGAGGAGTGGGGTGTTGGGGACAGCAGGAATGCGGTCGTCTGAACTGTTTAAGCCACTGAATGATCTGCTGGCTGAGAAGAGCTGCAAGAGAAAGGAGGCAGGTCAGAAAGCAGCTATAATCCTCCACCCTCCAACCTCAGCTCCAGTAAATTAAAGGATGGAAACACAACTGTGAAGGCATTTGTGCTTTGTACTCAGACCTTATGCTCTGATGGCGTCAATGGGCTTTAATACTTTCTGCTCCTCCACGTCAAGCCCTGGGGAGTAATTCTGAAAACTAATAAATCTTGCAAATGCCATACATGCTTTCATCAACACAAACACAGGGAATAACTGACCCGGGGAAATGCATTCCTGCAACAAGTGTGTGCATCCCCACGTATGATGGAAACTGCAGGGACACGTGTCCTCCCACAGCATGAGCACAACTGCAGGGCAGGAATCTTTCTGCCAGGTGATAACCACACAATGTTAAGACAAGTCATCCCCAAACACTCTGTTTTGCCTGGATAACAGGAGCTGCGCAGATTCTCGCTGACAGTTCACAGGTTTTATTCTGAATTATTGAGTCTAAGTGAGAGCTCAGGGTTGGGCTTGATGGTAGAAGAGAGAAAGGCTCTGCTCTGAGAAGCAGAAAGCCTGGTAAAGGAGAAGAGACCCAAGTGGGAGAACTAGGAAAGCTGCAAGCAAAGCCATCCCTGGGAAAGGACTGAGCATTACAGACTGTGACATTTTACAGTCCTCTCACAAACTTCCCTTGAGGCACGCCTTTGCTAAATGATCTTGAAATCTTGCTTTTAGCATTTAAAACATCATTCAAGGAAATTAAATAATTGCACCAGAATGCAAACATGGCTCAGCACTGACTAATACCTGTCTGTGGTTCAAGACTGCTATCAGCTGCCCGGACAGCCAGTGCCTGCATGCCTTTACCTGCCCCTCAGGTCCACCTGTGGACACCAGCACTGCCAGCAGCCAAGCCCAGGAACCCAGTGCACCCAGAAATCTGCCAGGCCCTGGTGGCTCTGGGTGCCAGCTGCTGCACCAGGCAATGGCTGCTCCAGCCTGCTGTGCCCTGGGAGGCACAACTGAGGAGAGCCTTTGTCTGCCCTCGCACAAACAAAATCCCACTGGAATTTCCCGACAGTGAGCAAGGTCAAGCCAGCAGCTCGTGGCATCCAAAGTAATCAGCAGCTCCAGCAGTGGCACTGCTTCAAGTCTATAGCCTGTCAGGAGCGCCAGACTCAGAGACCCTGCTCCACAGGCAGAAGTGAAATATGGAAGTTCTTCAGCATAAACACTCTTATTATTTCCTTTTTTTTTTTTTTCCCTACATTAAAAAGAAAGAAAAAAAAAAAAAAGAAAGAAAAAACCACCCTCCATTACTGGAAGCCTGAGTCAGAATTACCAGAAGGAAGCTGGACGGAAGAGCTATTTTCAGTGCCAACAAATCTGGAGAGCAGGTGAAACATCTCCACCTACAAATCTGAGCTCAGTACAAAAGCTGCTTCTTAGGCAAGAGAAAAGCTCTGATCCCACTGCAGCGGAGGGGCACACAGCTCTGTGGGAAGGGAATGGAGCTCTGGTTTTGCAATGTCTTATCTTCAAAACATAAATCCCTACTATCCAAGTGCAGCACTGCAGCCTTGGCACACAGCTTTTCACCTCGGCTATCACAAAGGAAGGGACAGAACCCCCAGTGCTTCAGAGCACTGAGAACTAACCCCAGAGCTGAGAATGAGCTGTGAGGACTAAGCCAGGTGGGACCAGGAGCTCTGTTGGGAAGCACATCATCATGTTCCAGGCTGAGCTCAGACAGTTCCTTTCTCTACTCCTGCTCTCCTCTCTGTTTGATCTTCTCCTTTCTCTAAAAGCATTAAGATAAGAGGCATACACATCATGCAGGAGAACACATTCAGTAAAGCCACTGACAACTGCACAAAGATTTGGATCTTACTTCACTTCTTCCCTCTTTGCATTCTCCCTTCACGCCTGATCTTGCTGTGACGTCTGTGGGGAAGCAGAGTCACATCTGGCTGACCAGCCAACTTCCTTCAGCATAACTACGACCTCCTCTGAGCTGAGAGGAGGGGGTTCACTTTTTGGAAGTGCTCTGAATGAGTTCGGTGACATTCTGCTGCCTTTTTTCTCCATTGAAGTTCCAGCAATAATCTTTCAGAAGGAGCACTCTGCTTCTTCACTCTTACAAAGGGCTCCGAGTTCTCGTGAGAAAGCACAATGGATGACACAAACTATTTTTAAAAGTTATTTCACAACTTCATTATAAATTAAGCAAGTGTATTTTGTCTGCTAGCCCCTGCAAATATTTAACTATGGAGCAGCTCTTTCCTCCATGCCCACTTCAGAAACGATGCACAGAGCCAACAGATTGATATGTCTCTTCTTTATGGCAGCAGCTCTCCCTGCATGGCACACAGAGGTTTGGTTTCTAAAGAGGACAACCTGTACCCACACAGAGCCCTTTGGGGCTCTCACTTCTGAGATGCTTCCCATTTGTCACAGAGATGTCCCCATCACTGGAGCTCTTTGGGGATTGCTCCTCCTGCTCAGCACGAATCTGGCACTGAAATGCAGTCTCAGGAAACAAAGTGCCACACTGACAGCAGAGTGCAGGGTTGCTCCTTGTCCCTGGGCAAAGAGCTGACCACACAGCTACAGCTGATCAGATGCACTGCATCCAAATGCATTGGGATCACATCCACCCAAGTTCAAACTGTGTAGCCCGACTGATGCTCAGTTCTGCACTGCAGCTTAACTCTGGGTATGCAAAAGCCAAAATCCCTGCAATTTCATGGAATGTTATGGTGGCAGGATGATGGAAGGAGAGATAGGGAAGGATTGTTTAAACAGCTTGTATATATTGGTGCAAGATGTCAGCCAAGCCCCAGTCTTGTACTGAGTGCTACAGAAAGGAGCATCTCACTTTAGCACTGACTCAGGATTTTGCAACCAACCATTTGCTCACCTCACCTCTAACAAAACCAAAAGAGTATTCAAAAAAGGCAATAAATCAGCTGCCCATCATCAGTCAACCCAACAAAACATTTATCCAGCATCCTGCAAGTTAACACCTCCCATGGAAAAACGAAACTGAAATCTCCTGACTGGGCTGCACTTCACTTACATCTTGTCAGGAAACGTCAGGCTTAGCAAAAATAAGCCAAAAACAAAACACAAACCACCACCTCTGTATGCAGAGAACACAGATAACACAATGTTTAAAATAGCCAGAGGTTCTTTTCAAAAGGAAGTCATTTATAAATGGAATTCAAAGGAGTTAATTGGCCTTATCTGAATGCCAGTGCTCTGAAGGACAGCAAGGGGCACCAGGAGGGCTTCAAGGAGGACGTGGAGAGCAGCACACAATGGGACCAGGATCTCTTTGGCCATTTCTTTGGTTCAAACAGCTTAGCCTTCCTCCTCCTGAACATCTCCAAATTCAACCTGGTTCAAAGCTACCAGACCACACGTTGACTGCCTGCACAGCCATGCACCGTTGGTCTTCAGCACATTTATGACAGGAAGGAAGGCAGAGGTACTCCCTGTCACCAACTGCAGGCAAACTGAGGGTCAAGAGGATGCTGCAAAGGTCTACAAAGGTCATCAGATCTCATCAGGTTAAGCAAGAGCTCAGGCATCAGATGTGAGGATCTGCGTTGTCATGGCTCGCCTAAGATCTCACAAAGTCTAAGGCAGATAGGAGCTTTGATTTCCCAAACCTCAGGCCAGGACCTCACCACCAACCCACATTTCTTCAGCGCTCAACCAGTCACTGAGACACGCTGGTATCAGTTCAGAGCAGCACTGCTGCCAAGTCTCTTACTGCCAGGCTCTGACATATAGGCAGCTTTCATCATGGAAACACAGTCTGACACATTCCTAACAGCAAAATGCAGCCTCTAAAAACACAACTAAATTTCAAAATGCAACAGTGACTAAAGCACAAGTGTGTTAGTCTGCATTCTGGAGCATCCACCTTCATTTTTTTCCCCTACCATCTCTGTGAGACAATGATCCACAAAAGGAACCTGATGCAGGGCTGGATATTCACCATGACAGCTGAGATAGCAGATGTGCATGGTATCAGTTCCACCAACAACCACAGCTGGAGGCTGCTAGAAGGGACTGATACCAGGTTGTGCAACAATGAGTAAGCAGTCCCAGCAGATGAGAGAAAACAGACAGCAGAAAGCTGGTAAAAACGCACAGAACTGCATGTTGCTCTCAGACTGCCAAGAAATCATGTGCCCAGGAAAACTCAGGGATGTGAAAGCTTACAGGGGTTTGGACTCACAAAGCAAACACAAACGATCAGTCTGAAATTGAAGCAGTTTGGGTTTTAGTCATCATCAGTAAAACATTTGCCATGGAAAATAAACATACGGTGGATGTTGCTGGGGACAGTTAATGATCTACGTCACAGTGTTTTTCCTCAAGTCCGTCTCTTCAGTGCTCCTGAGCTCCTGTTGCAGGCCACCCTGCACATGCTGAGTGTTTCAGGGATACACCTCCTGGCATCAACATCAACACATTGCAACTTCAGCCCTGCAGGGAGTTGTGTTTCCTAATTCCTTGGGGCAAACACCATGGGATGAAGCCTGAGATTTTCAGTGTCTGATGGGGAGGATGGGAGAGAAGCACCCGTACCTCTGTTTGGTTCTGCTGTGACGTGTTTACATCCCATATGGTTGGCACGTGGTTCAGGCTGTCAGCAGGCAAGCAGTCCTTTGCATCCACGATGTCAGAGAGGGAATCCGCAGGAGATGAGAAGAGAGAGTTATTGTTGGAGAGCTCATCGAGGTATGAAGAGTCCTGAAATGAAAGAAATGACCAGTTAGAGGAGGTAGGGGAGGAGCAGAGAGCTCCCTTCTCACATCTGCTCATCCAGGAAGCTTTAATTTTTTGCTGTTAACCAAGCACTCAGTTGCTTTGCACTCCACAAACTCAGAAATTAACTTGTCAATGAAGATGTGTTCTTAGCAGCTGGTTTAAAATTGTGGTTTCTTGATAGAGTAGGAAGCACTGATTGGGCAGCAGTGTTGGTAAATGTTCAAGACTCAGACTGTGCACACCTGCACATAGAGTATTCACCAAGGCGTCAGACACTGCACTTTGGGTTTGATTAGAATGGCCCCAGGGGTGTGAAAACTTTTCAGTTTGACACATGAAAGACTCAAGTGTTCCAATCATCCAACAGAGAACCAGCTAGAGCCCATAATGACAGAGCTGTTTAATTGCAACTCATAACACAGCAGTACCCAGAGGCTTCAGAAAAAATGGCAGCCCCTGATGGGAGGTTCTGTACAAAGCAGGCTGCCTGGAGTGGGGACATCTGCATCTGTACCCAGATAAACTGCAGCAAATCCACTCTTCCTGGGACATGCCTCGACCTGGGCAAGAAGTGAACGTGCTTCAATGATGAGGATCAGGCTCTGCCCTTGCTCATTTTCTGGTGCTAGTACCATGACAGCTTACACTTGTTTTATTTTGTGCTGACCCAGTGATGATGTCAGTTTGAGTCATATGGACTCCAGATCACAAAGTGCCCAATCATTAATTCCTTATTTGGTTTTTCAAACGCCAAATGACAAGAACTGATAGCCAAAAACCCATTTGCAACCCTGGTGCAGATCACTGCACCTCTCCTGACTTCACTGCACCAACCCAGCTCTCCTCCACGCTTGTGGCTGTCAGGCAAAGCCCTGGTGACTGGAAAAAGGGAAACATATTCAAGAATGGGAGGAAGGAGGACCCAGGGAAGTCCAGTGAGCCTCACCTCTGTGCCTGGGAAGATCATGGAATAGATCCACTTGGAGGACGTATTAAGGCACATGCAAAATGTGCAGGTGATCTGAGCCAAGCAGCATGGCTTCAGCAAGGGAAGGTTGTGCCTGATGCATCTGGTGGCTTTCTGTGATGGAGTGACAGCATTGGTGCCCAAAGGAAGGGCACCTGATGTCATCTACCTGGACCTGTGCAAGGGCTTAGACACGGTCCCCCACTACATCCTTATCTCTAAAGTGGAGAGAGATGGATTTGAAGGGTGGACTATATAGTAGATGAGGAATTGGTTGGATGGTTGTGGAAGTTGTGGATGCCTCATCTCTGGAGGCACTGAAGGCCAGGCTGGTTGGGATCCTGGGCAGCCTGACCTAGTGGACAGCAATCCTGCCATGGCAGGGGGGTTGAACTACATGATCTTTAAGGTCCCTTCCAACCTATGTGATTCTATGAGATACTACGTCAGCTGGCAGAAAGGTCTGTCTGCAGCTCAATGAAGAGCGATGCACTTTGAAACCACATCAGAGCACAAAGTCCATTGCTGGGGATGTAGCTGCACCCCAGAGGGACGTATGGACAGACCCACAGGTCCCACCCCACTGTGTTCTGCCAACACACATCAGCCCTGCAGCTCTTCCTAGGGGTTGGGACTGCCAGCACACGGCTGGCTCAAGCTCCGTGCTACGTCAGATAACAAAATCAGTGTGATGATACTGCAGCACAGCTGCCAGGAGAGCCGCAGCATCAGACAGGAGGAGAAATCACTGCTCATTTCCAGTTAAAGGCCAATTCTGTACTACAAAGCAGAAAGGCAGCCAACAATTTTAAAAGTCACTTCGCCCCGCCTGACAAAACCAGGAACAGCTGAGCCTGCCTGTATTATTCCTACGGGCTCCTGGCCAAGAGCTGGGCCAGGATCCCTCCCGACTTGCTATCAGAAGTTGCCTTTTTTGCAGCACTTACAACACATGGACATGCCCTTCCCCATCTTGCCACCCATGTCCTGCTTGGCCCTGGGGAAGACAGCAACTGCTCTGAAGCCACAGCTGCCTCCCAAGCAACCTTCAGCCTCTCACCAAGAGCACCGTACACGTCGTATCCATAAGATTCAGGTTGTGACAGTGAGATTTACTGTTTTCCATTAACTTCACTGCCTGTTAGGGTCTTGAAAAGAGGAAGGTGCCAAGTTGGAACATTAAGAGGTTTGCAGAAGCCCAGCCAGCTCACTGCCTGCCCAGCATGAGCCCCATGGCTGCTGCACCCTGAAATAAGGAAATCAGCCCTCAAATCAGAGGGAGAATGAACAGCATCAGTTCTGGAAATGACTTCAGCTGGTCCATCCTCTTGCAGCATTACAAGGCATTAGTCACAAAGTCCCCTGGTCTGCCTTACCTAGCTGTGCTACCCAGAGAGCACAGACACAGCATGCTGCATCCCTGCCCTGAGAGCCTACAACACAGCCCCAACAAACTACACCATAACTACAACATGTATCATTATCAACCACGCTTTGACTAGTTACTCCACTAGCTTATATGGAGCAGTTACCTAAAACTCTGGGCAGAGGAAGAAACATGCCCTGATCCAACAGCAGATGGAAAAGCACCAATTGGGATAGTGCCACCAGCACCAAAAACCAGAGGAGGATGTTATGGGGAGAACAGGGGGGCAAGAGCCCACAGAGGACAGATTACTGCATTTTGAGGGAGTTCTTTTGTCTCTGTTTAAGATTGATCAGTAAGAACTTCGTGCTTCTCTCATGGAAACAGGAGGATTTTACAGCAGTTAGAGGAGGACGGACACGGAGGCTCTGACATCTGCACTTGTGAAAATAGCTCAGAAGGAACTGCTGGTGTCAGGGATGGAGCAAACAGGAGCACATCATAAAACAGGGAAAGGATGATTCCCTGACAGCGGGGTGAGCACACAACAGAGAGTTTTATAAGGCTTTAAGAGCGGCCAACACAGAGGCACGGCTGTTGGACATTGGTCTTGGCAGCATTTTTTCACAGTGAAGATCAAATAAGATCAATGTACCAGCATGGGAGATGGATGAACAGAAATCACCGTCTGATCTCTGGATCAGAAGATGCTCTAGTGAGCAGTTTGATGAATCAATGATAGCACTCACGTGCAGGACTTTGAAACTGAGCACAAAGGGATCTACTCTGGCACACAACGTTTCTATCATCATCCCACCCCAGGGCTGTGAAAAGCCAAGAACAAACTCCCAAAAAAGACCAGAGAAAAGAAGGGTAAGAAAACGACGCAGACATCGACCTCTTTCTCCTCACCCACGGCTCCTTCGACCAAAGCAAAGTCTTTGTTAAAAATACTGGAAGAGCAGGTGAAGCCTAAATCCAGAAGCAGCATGCGTCCTAAAAATAAGTGCAGCCACGAAGATGTCGGTATAGAAATGATTTGTTTGCTCACAATCCAGATGCAGAGGAAACAAACATCCTTTTGGCACAGCACGCTGTAGGGACTTCAGAAAAGCCTCACATACACACAGGCAGATGTGCACACACGAATACTGTGGTGCTGCCAGGTAAGAGAGGTGTGTTTTCCCAGCAATCACAACGCCGGAGCTGTTTCAGGTAAGATGGAATAAGGAAACTAACAGCTGCAATGTCAGCCATCGATCGCCCAAAGGAAATCTTTTCACTGCCAAAACCCAAAGTCTTTCTAAAAACAGAGCAATAAACTTGCAGTCTCAAGGGCTCTGTGCTCTGCTTTGCGAGCACTTCCCTTGTGTTTCTGGTTTAAAAATCAAACCCCCCTGAAAGCCGTTACAGCTCCAGAAACACAGATCAGTTCTGTGCACAGCTCCTTTTCCTCCCTGCTTTGCAGTAACCACGCTCACACTGATGGGAGCAGGGTGCAGGAACACGGGTCTGCACTGCACAAAGCAGCACTTTGCTTTCCTGCACCCCTGAAGCCCCCCCACTGCAGCACAGACAGGGAAACCCGAGCCCAAAGGAAAGGCTGAAGTTCCCCCCTCGCAAACAACAGCAACTCCAAGGAAAAGAATATAAAAAACAAGTGTTACCTTGAAGAGAGACGGGAACTTCAGCCAGAACTGCATTTGGGACATTTTAAAGCAGCATTCAGTTTGCTGAGAGCAGAGCAAGATGCAGACCAGGCAGGAAGGTAAACTTCTCAATATATACCGGAGAAAGATCTTCATTCATGACAGCAACAGCAGCAAGAGATCTCAGCAAGGCTTTTTTTGGACATGCAGAAGAAAGGAGTGAAAATGGAGGAAAAAAGGACAGCCATGCAGCGTGCCTGTCCTGAGCCCGGCGAGATTTGCATATAGTGTTTAGTCATGAAGGAGAGTGCTCTTACTTCCTCTAAGTACGAGGGCTGACTTTCAGGAAATGATGCCTGCTTGGTAAGTCAGTGAAATTACTGGCAGTGCGAGGAGAATTACTGTATGTGGTGTAATTCAACCACAGATAGGCTGTAAACAAAGCTGCGCCGCACGGCTGCGGGGACCCAGCCCAGGGCTGGGGCTCATGCCCACCCCCCCCCCAAGTGCTGGGGGGCTCAGGTGATGTAAGCAGAGCCAAAAGGTAACCAACAGGACTCTTTTTTCTTCTTACTTTTTAAGAGCCGCATGCTTTCTTTTGTCTCCAAGATTTGCCCCACCCCACACATTGGGATTAAACATAAAAAGGAGCAGCCTTTCTGTTCTAACTCATTGTTCTTTTTCTGCATCCAGGAACACTGGGCTTCTTTTTCTTTTTTTTTCTAAAGGTTTCCCCTATTAACTGTATTTTTTATAACAGAATAAAGCAACGTTTCTGGTGAGGAAGTTAAGAAGACATAGGAAGGGGCATCTGAAAGGGACTCAGCCATTGTGAGTTTAAGGGGAGGCTGTCCCAGTGCAGGCAGAGGGCAAAGGAGTGAATTGGACAGAGTACTCCCCTGCAAAAAGAAATAAAGAACAAACTAAAAAAAAAAGCAGAACTTTTCTGCCTGGCTTTGGCACAGGTGGCCCCAGCCTGCCCAGCTCCAGCCTCCTGGGCTGCCCTGTGTGAGCTGTGACATGGGGTGCTGGGGCCTCGTGCCCAGAGTTGCTGGGAAATCCCACATGGGAGGCATTTCTCTATACCACAGACTTGGAGCAGGCAGGGTAAAGAAGCCTCTGGTAGAACTGCAAGAGATGGGAACAGCTTCTGAACTGACAGCACAGGGATGCACAGCTGAGCCCCAGGGAAGCATGCTGGGGGCTGACTGTGCTTTGTGCCATCAGAAGAGGAAGTGCTGCCCCCAGAGCAGCCCACAGCAGCAAGACACACTGCACCCAGGGTTGCAAAACCACCCACGGGATGCAACCTTGCCTTGTGTGTGTGGCATCTGGATACACGGCCCAGTGGCAAAATACCTGCTCCAGGTTTGTATTAAGCAGAAAGAGAAAGAAAAGCAACCACTGGACACATGGGGAGCCCACGCTCCTGGTGCTGCAGCAGGGCTGAGAGCACTGCCATCAGGGTGCACACTGCAGGAGCTGCAGTGAAAGTGAAGCCTTTGGTTTCTGTGGGCAGTTGGCTCAGGGTGGAGAAAGGCAGCAAGTTTCCACAGCTGCTTTCATCTGAATTTGATTGTTTTTAATTAGCTGATAGCAGCCCTGGAGTTGGGATAGGTGCTTTAATGATACATTTGAAGTAAAGAGACCAAATGCATTTCTGAAATGTCTTAATTAGTGACTCGCTGGAGACCAGCCTGCTGGCAACTGATTAAACCAGCAGCTCTTACCTAAGACTACCAAGGTCTGGCTATTTATGCAGCCTTTAAAAAGCAGGTGGTTTATTTCCTCTTCCTTTTCTCTTAGCTGACAAACGGGGCAAAATACAGGCAAGAAAGCTGGAACACCAAAAGGAAAGATGACATTGCCTTATATACCAGGAATGCTGAATTGATTTTGCAATACCACAGTGCTATAATCACAGAAGATAAGGTAACCAACTGAAAAACCACCACCTGGTATTTTAAGATCCCATCCTAAGGGAGAAGGTTTGCCACAGCATTTCTGATGCCCGCAATTAATTCATGAACTGAGTGCTGACAAATGGGGATAGGAAAGCAGAGGAATTCCAGTGTTCACAGCAGTAATTTGACTTATCTTCCACCAAAACCTGAAATGTAAAACCTCATTAGCTGCTCTGGCAGGTGATCTTCACAGGTAATCCTCATCCACAACCTTTGAATCACTGACCTACAGGACAGCATCCTGATTGTGCTGATGGTTTCCAGCACATGCTTTCTGAGCTTTGCAGAAGGCAGAAGCACAAATGGATACAGGACAATACAGCTGTGCAGGAAAAGACCTGACAGCTCATCACCCTCAGGCAAAGAGTCAGGGTACATTTTGTGCAACTGGAAGGCACCACACACAGGGAGTGAGTTGCAGTGATTCAGGGATTCACAATAACCATGTGAGATGGGGAAAGAAAAGAGTGCTCCTCCAGACTCACAGTGATGGCTGTGGTTGGAGCACCAATGCTTGGGACAACCAGCAGAAGTGAGGGGTGTTTGACAGCCCCTGGGATGGAAGCACAGCACTGCTGTCACCACCAGCAGAACTGCAGGCAGGGAAACTCCATCACACTGACTCAGACCAACTCTGCTATGAATTAAAGCATCTATTTGAATACAACTCCCAGTAGTTTGCTATTAAATTATATTACCAGCTTTTTTTTTTTTTTTTTTTGAAGATCAATCCACATTTCAGACCAGTGCTTTTCCCATTTTTGTTAGCTTTATGAAGGGGAGGAAGCAGAGAAGAGCTCTTGCAAGACCTTCAGAAGGCAGTCCTGTTGCTTCCATGCTTCCTCTCCTATCTAGGAGGGGACACAGCATTTGAAGCCAACAAAACAGATGAAAACCAACAAGGCTGGAGGGGAGGAAGCACCTGAGCCAGCAATGGTGGGCACACACACAAACAGTGCTTGGGGAATGTGGCCTCAAAGCAGGAGATCTGCACTGACTGCAGCCAGGTGGGATGTGCTGCTGCAATCACACTTTGCTCCATGAAGCCTTGGATGTCCAGCACCTCACCAAAGGGTTTGTATAGTGTCATTAAGTCAGGCCAAAAACTTGTCCCTGCAGTGCAAAAATAAAGATGTGGGCTTGTAAAGCAGCATGTTCCAAGTGCCTCAGAGCCATTAATTGTCTTTAATTGATTTTGCTATCTGTATTCCCTATAGACATTAGTACAGGACAGCAATAGGAACTTCCAGGTTGTTTCTGATTCCAGGAAACTCTTCCTACCAGTCAGAATCAAATCCTTCATGTAATTTAATAACTGCTACATTGATTTCTCTTAAATCACTACAGCTCTGTGCACTGAAGTGCTTCTAAAAATTAATACCTTTTTTAAGAGTAGGTTAATTCCCCCTTTTTAACAAGACTGATGGGGAACTGCAAGGGCTGATGGCAAGGAGAGGGCTGGTTTAGGAGCACTATTACACTGAACAGAGACCAAACAGCACGAATGCATCCCTACAGCACCGCTGTGAATGGCTGTGCCACCACTGCTCCCTCCAGCCTTCCTCCCTTCCTCCAGCCCAGGCACAGAGCAGATCCCAGAGGGTACCTGAGCTTCCTCTGCAGCCACGTGCACGTCGAGCTGTTTTGCTGCAGGGGGAAAGGAAGGAGTTTCAGCAGAGCTCAACTCAGAACTGCCTTCCAATGCTCACCAGGAGCTGCTCAGCCCCTCTGCACAGAGCTCCGTTTCTCAGTGCAACTCTATGACACATGCAGCCAGCAGAGGAGGTTCTGTGTGCAGGGAAATGCTATGCTGGATAGACATAAGAAACAAGCTGAATCAAGCAAAGGGAAACAGATGTTCTTCTACTTTTAAGATAAGGCCCAGGGCACAGACTGCAGCTTAGCATGCACACCAGCCTGGGGACATCATACCAGAGTATAAATTAAAACCTTCTGCATTGGGTGCTTTGTTGGGACAGTTAACAGCTCTTCCTAGCAGTGACAAAAGCTAGCACAGGAATAACCAAGCACTAAAAGGCCTTTGCAACAGGATTACTGTATACAGGTTTCAGGCTCCCCCAGCACCTCAGGACTTCTGGCTTTGAGGTTAGAGGAATAAATAACAGAGAGGGTGGGAAGCCATGGAAACCAAAGTCCTTCTCATCAGGACCTTGACTTCTAAGGCTGTACATGCCTTCAGGGGACATGTTTCTTTAAGATGACACACAGGGTGTCTGTGCAAGACTTTGGCTTAAGACAGCAGTTCCCAGGATCAAGAAATGCTATCAGACTCCAATATGGTCTCACACAACTATTTTCTAAACCTTAATTTAAGCCACTTGTTTATAAAAAGAATGCCAACAGACCGGCAAGGATGAATCACCCAATGGCAAGCCAAAAAAAAAAAAACAAAAATACTGAGGGGGAAAGAAGTTCAAGTTCACATTAGGCTGCTCTGACCATGCAAATGAAGCATCTTTTCCAATATGCAGAAGGCATTCAAGGCTGCTGTGATACACACAAATTGCTTCTTGCTAGATCCGAGTGGCAGCAGGGAGTGACTGAACTAAAAAGAAATTCCCAGAGCAATTAGGATGTGTGGCAACTCCCACTCATGGCATCCTCAGCCCAGCAAAGTCTTTACATTCTGAAGGCAGGCCTGAGGGGCTCTGGAACAAAACAGAGAAGATGAGGAACCAAATTCTAGTGCTGAAGGAAGGAACGTCAGCCTTCCCATTTCGTGCACCCCTGGGTTCCTCAAACCCCAGGGCACAAGAATAATTCTCAAATCAGTATTGACAACAGGAAGCATTTACAGCACAAACATCTTGACAGAATTATCAGGCATTTGCTCTTTAGACCTTTTCAATCCACTTTCAGTATCCTGTGCGTTGCTGGAAAATTCTGAAGGGAAACTGCTTAAATGCAGCTCAAGACCAGGCTGGGATTCTGCTGCAGGGTCAGACAGCACTCAGTGTCAGATCACACAGAGGAATGGCCCCAAGTCAGAGATGGCATTTCCACCACTCTTTTCCCCTGTCCCCCTGGACAGCACACAAAGCCCAGCACTGGCAGCCTGCTGAGACACAGAGCCCATAACCCCAGGGTACAGCGAGCTCTTTGCACTGCTGAATGATCACAGACTGCATTCTGGTATCTAAACAAAGATGAGAGGATAATCTGTATTCACGTATGAAGACAGCTCTCACATAAGCACCCAATCTATCTTGGCTGCCCAGAGACCACAGATTTAATCAAGAACCTCTTACCAAAGCGTGCAGCAAACTCTTCATGTTCTCTCTTGGGTTTCAGTCCTCTGTCTGGCATGGCTGGAACAACACAAGGCTTAACAGCTCTTGCCACTCCTGCCACAGCAGGAAAGCATGGAAAAGACAGGTACTTTCCTGCACAGTCACCAGGAAAGACAATCAGCCAAGCCGCTCCCTCACCTTCTGAATGAGATGTTTCAGCTTTCCAGGCAAATTGTTAATATTTAACAGTTTGGCAACAGGGACAGCATGAAATCAGTAAAATGGAAAACACTGCTGAAGCAAGGGATGGAAAACCTCCAGGATGTTCCCGGATGACTCCACATGAATGTCACTGCCTCCAGTCAATTGCCTGCTCTCTCTGAAATTCAGGCTCCAATTTTGGCTCTTAGCAAAAAATCATCAGCTTTCCTTTGGATAGAAAGCACTCTGTTTTATCAATGAGTCTCCACATTAGCACCAGTGTCAGAGCACTCGCAGCAAGCCCTGTAGAAAGCTGAAGGAAGTCGAGAGCTGAGCATTCAGAACAGCTGAGCTGGTGCTGTACCTCAGCAGAGCAGAGGATAAATGAAGACCGAACGCCTCCGAGAGGCAGGAGAGCACAAAACAAGTGTTGTTACACATCGTGGCACAGGCACACAGACACCTGGTGACATGCATCCATCCACTCTGCAGCTGCTCCGTGCAGACAGCACATCTCCAAGGCACTACCTCAGCTTCATACTGGAAAACAAAGCTCTAACAAAAGTCTTTTTTCAGTGTTTCTCAGTTTCAGAGCACACAGGTTGATAGATTACTGCCATGGGTTATCCAGAAAGTCCCAAGCAGCAGAGCTCAGCACACAGGCTTACCAAGAACTACCAAACAGAACAGAAAAACTTCCAGAAATGCTGCTTCTAATGGGAACAAATGTACATAGCACTACCAGCTGCTACACAGTACATCTGAGCAAAAGTTTTGCTGTTTGCTGGTTTGGCTGTGACAGATTCAGTAGACAACACTCCCCTGTTGCCATACACAAAGCTGAAGAACTCTTGCAAGTATGCTGTAATAGGTGCAGCCTCCCAGCATTTGCCTTGGAAAAGGTCAAAGCAAAAACAGACCTGCCTACAGTCACCTCATTCCTTTCTGCGGCTTCCTCCCCAAAAGGAAGAGAGCAGCAAAAGATCTTGGCATTTTTCTGGAAATCACCTGAGGTCATTTTATGTCCTGTTGGTTTCAGAGCCCTTCTGCTCTGCTATTACATAGTCACCATAAAGAAGCAGCTCCTTTTCAGAAATAATTTCCAAAACTTGCTCTTGCCAAGCTGGCTGAGATCGATTTCTGCACACAACAGGGGAAGGAAGCAGACTGACCACTCACATACTAGAAAATACATAAGTTAAAGAAATAATTAAGTCTCTTTCCCGTTAAACCCATCAACCAAACTACACAGACCTGCAAGCTGAGACCTGTGAAGAAGACCCATCTCCCTCTTCCCATCACGGTCTCTAAAATGGTTTCCACAAGTTGATGAGATCACATTTCTGTCTCATTCCTCCCACAATTAATTCTGCAGGAGGCAAAGATCAATGCTACTATAATTCATCTACTTATCTGGTTTTATCCAAGCAGAAGACTCCGGTCAAGAGTAGCACTGCACCCCCAGCACTGGTGATCAGCTGGTGCAGCAGATGAGCCACCAACACAAAGCACTGCCAGCAGCTTTGCTCAAGGAGCTCAATTTGGGCTAACTCCAGAGGCTTACCTTAAAGGGTTTAAACCCCAGCTTACATAAATCTAAACCTGCAGAAATCAGAGACTCACAGAGGCTCAAATCCTCTCCCCCCCCAATAAAACAGAAGTACAGTTAGCAGGAATTACCATATCTCCCTCGAGAAGAGAAGACACGCATCGGTTTGCTGTTTCCTACTGCTATAAATAAACTTCACATCATGCTTCTGAATAAAGTTCTCTTTACAATCAAGCTGCTCTTCCCTGCTGAACCAATTCAGCCCATGCTCCAAAGCTCACACCACCATTCACTGCAGAGCAAGAAGCTGAGGCATCTCTACTGAATCATGCAGGAAGAAGAGGAAGATTACAAAGGAAGGAGGTTGTCTGTACGTCTGTCCTGGCATTCAGCATCACAGAAGTGAACACCCAAAAGTTCACAACAGCTCACCAGGGCTTACTGGAGCGTTTTGAGATGTGCTGAAGCACAGTGCCAGCACCAAGTACTCCCATACTGCCCCATTTACCCTCATGCTGTTCTCAGCACCTCTGGGCTACCTTGCAGGGCACGCTTAGAATTAATTGTGAAATGTCTGCAAAGGTCAACCTTCACCTTAATGCAGAAGAGGGAAGGGAAACAAACTCAGCTCCATTTCACACACGCCCAAACACTGCCCGTGTGCTTATCTGTCACACCAACTCACAAACCTGAGGCAGATCAGCTGCGATGTGCAGATTAGCTGGTTCCCACACTCAGAGGAAGCCTGGCTCTGCCGGTAAGCTTCTTTGTGACTAGAAAAAAAGTCTGACTTACAAACAGTGTGGATGAAGATTCTGAACGTAAACCACAACTCTGCACACCTTAAAGTTTCCTTTGAGAATCTCTGGGCACCTCGAAGGCTATGAGGTCCAATCTGTCATCAATTATGGAGCCTCCAACAAACCTGCTAAGGTTACACTAAGAGACATTAAGTAAACAAATAAATTAATTACTCTGAAATTTCTAGCATAAGTTCCCTGTAGCATCATCTACTCCAAATGACTCTTCTGCACATGCCTTACAGCACACTCCAGCCCTGCAGCACTGCTGCAGTTCCATCCCTTCTCATCTGTTGTAAGATAGGAGTCAATCAACAGCTCAGGACATAAGGCAGGGGCTGGAAGTCAATGGGTGCTCTGCATCTCCATCCACATTCTTTCTACCTGGCTGCTTCTCTGCAGTGTCTGAAGCACAGCTCTGCCTAAGAGAGGATGCCAGACTCCATCTGCCCGTTATCTGCTCCCCTGATAATCAGTACAGCAACTTACTGAGAGAGAAGGGCTGGGACTACAGGGTCACTCAGTTTGGCTGTTGCACTGATAGGTCAAAGCAAGGTAACTTTCTGCACATTTACTGTCTTCAGATGCTGGGTTAAAACAGAACAAAACAAGAACTACAGCAAAGAACATGCACAGCCAGACACTGCTAATATCTGCATCGGCTCCTAGAAGGGATGTAGTTGGTTCCTTCTGTATTCACAGCGCTGCTTTCCAGTCATTATTAGCTAATCTTACTGTAAAATGTTGCCAAAAGCAAGTGAAGCACTTCAAAAACTACTGAAAAACATCTTTCAGCCTAGAGGGATCCCTGAGGTGAGGATGCCTGTGGGCCCTCCCAAGGGATGCCAGATGAGCTAGGGAGACTGCTCCTCCCACACTGCAAAAGACCAACTGATTGGGATCTCTGTTGGGCATTGAACCAACACAGTCCTCAAACATCCACTGGTCAGGAACCACCACTTTAATTAGTGAGAGCACATGCAATGTTCACAAGGGAAGGAAGTTTAGGAGGCAAACAATTTAACTGACTGAAGCGTTTTCAAATTCACACTTACCTACACCCTCTTGCAAAATGATTCTCCTGCGTACTTTGTGTTTATATTTTATATCATTTTAAAAGACAAGCAATTGTATCACAGATAAGCTGTGATAACGGATACCTTCTTTATTGCTGAGAATTTACCCCAATTACACCTCCAAACAAATTTACTGCACTCTTCCTTTCCCCTCTACACCACAATCCTAAAAAACCAACACCCATCATAAAGCACTGTTTTCCCCAAAGCCATCAGTAGCAACGTACTCACCTGAGGAAAATCACCATTTTTTGGTAAGAAGTCAGTGGGGTCCACAGATGCATAGTTTGTATCCAAGAAATGTGGTCTGCTGATGGGATTCATATAAAAATCGTGAGAGGAATTAAAATATTGCCTGTAAGGAAATGGGAAAAGCAGTTACTTCCTGTGGGTCCTTAGCATTCCTCAGGTCGCTTCAGACTCCAGCAGCAGCAGCAAAGGGGCAGTTATGGGATGACACACACAAGAAGTTGATTTAGAAAAGCTGAATTTATCCAGATCGGATATCTGTGAGCAAAAATCAGACATCTAGAGGATCTGTCTTAAGACCAAGAATTGAGTTCTCAGCAACCTGTGTAAACTGAGGACTTCACAGAAAAGAAGAGTCTGCAGGGCTAGATGTTTCAGCCCTGACAACAAAGCAAAATTGAGGCTCTGAGATGTCCCATGGCCTAATGTGTGACAGCATGATGGAACCTGACAGTCATGCTACGTAAGGACAAGCATCAAGTTGCATGGAAATGTCATACCCGAATGTCTACCCAGGTCATAAAAACGAGGCAGCCCCTCCTGCAATCAGCACAGCAAACCTGCAGGCCTTGACAGATAACAGCCCTTTTGTACCCCTGCAGGGAGCACAGCCACAGAGCAAAGACTGATAGAAACTGAAGGGTTAGGAACATGCAAGGCCAGACAAAACCATTAGTCCAGATAGAGATGGATTTCAGATGTAACTGATTATACCTCATTACAAGGCAAAATCTCTACTGACCTAATACAGAGAGAAAAGCAAGAATCTTCTGATCAGCCCCTGCTGGGTAGGGCACTTGCCATCTCCTCCTGCCTTCCTGCCCCAAACTCCAGCTTCCTCTAAACAGAAAGTAGGGAAGAACAGCAGAAGAGCAATTCCCTTCCTTCTTCCCTTCCCTCTTCTCTGCTCTGTATTCCACGGCTGTCCTCTGCTTTGCTATTACACACATGAGCCCTTTCTCTCTCCTGCAGCAGCAGGAATGTGCTCTGCAATCTTTCCCGTAAGAGCCGTGCACTCAGTGCTGCTTGGGCAATCGCCACCCAACATGTTTTCATGCTGGAATCATTGAAACGTTTCACCCCATCAGACTGTTTCCTCTTGCAGCCAGCTGTGTGCTCTCCACAGTGCCAAGGTTACAGAACTCAGAGCAATAAACTTGAGCAAGGGGAAGGAGAAGCAAAATTTAAAAAGAAATATCCATCCAGGAACAGAGCTGGGGATGACTCTGCTGCTGAAGTATTATGAAGCAATCAGGACCCCACGTGTGGCTAACACCTCACCCATACACCATATTTACATACAAACACACTTATCCACTCATTTTTCCTCCTTTTTGCATCATTGAAAACAGTGTTCTCAATCCATGCAGCCCAATTAAGATCTGTGTATAGCTTCTGGGAAGTAAAGTATTTATGGACAGGGAAGGGCTTGTTTAAAATGCTTTCCAGCTGGAATTGCTGTGCTCTCACCCTCTCCCCCCTGCACAAGGACAGAGCCTGGCTTAACAAACTAACCAGAGAAGCTATTTTAAGAGAGAAGTGAGCATTGCCTCCTACCTCCACAGTGCCTCATGGGTTGCACAGGAGTCAGCCAAGGTAACAGGAAGGAAACCAAGATAGCCCCAACCTCCTTGGCCTGAACTGCTGTAGAATGAGCAGCTTTGGCATGCTGTTTTGTTTCCTCTAACCTTGGCTTTGAAATCTGTGAGTGTGAGATGCACTTTCTTCTTGCGCTGAGATAAAGTTTGTCCCGGAGAGGCACTGTGCTCTTCAGGCAGAGAGTGCTGCATCTGCAGCAATGCAGGACCCTGCTGCAAGCCCCCAGGAGGGCGATGCTTTACAGCAGCTCAGAGCTCCCACCCCACTGCATTCCATGGGAAGCCAGCCCCTCCAGTGAAACCACACAGCCAAAAGGAAGGAATGTTGGTCCTCCCCTCCATCACAGAATCTGGCTCAAGAGCTCAGTTTCAATCAGGTTACATGTGCCAACACAAGGACACCTTCAACAGGTAGGGGTTCCACTCTCTGCCCCACGTGCAAAGCAAGGCAACAAGGCTAAACTCAGTCATCTGTAAGAAAAAGAACACCTAGAAACATAACCAAAGGGACATCTCCCTGTAGGAAAACATGAAGGGAAGCACACAAAGGCATACAACGTTCAGAACCCAAAAAGCCTTACTGCACATACGTTCCCTACCCTTCTGTAAGGAATAAAGTAGAGAATTTCTTTCATCCCCAAGCCCTGGGACTTTGTGAGCTGAGTGGGGAGCATCTTAGGATTATATCCATTTCAGACAATTGCTTTAAAGAGCACGGCTGCCTTTTTGCTGCCACCCACTCTAATTATAGAAGCAGTGGAACAGTCTGGTACAAAGCAAACCTGAACTGACATCTGACTCACCCCAGCCATTTGATGTCAGTCCAGCCAGTGGGTCTCTGGGCAAGGCCATTTCACATACTGCTAAGGAAAGTTTTGGGCATTTTATTTGCTTGCTCTTTAAAAATAATAATAATTAAAAAACAATTTGCATTTTCAATAGCAGGAACCAGAGGAACACACTGCAGACAGGCTCTTACCTGTCTGAGGAATCCACACCTCAGGTGAGCCAGAGCAATCCACATCCCTCCCAGGATGGGTTTCCATCCCTTGACAACTTAAGCTTGCCATAACCTCACATCAGCTGCTCATTGATGCAGTCTGGAGCCAGAAGGGATTCAGATGCAGTTTCACTGGAGACCTGCTCTGGGGACTCTGGTAAGGCTTTATGCTCTGATGGTGCAGCCCTACATTTGGAGATGCAAGCTCCACATTTCCAGGAAGCAGATGAGCAGAGTTCACAGGCTGCCCAGGTATTGACCTAGACACTCTTCTTCCCTGTCAGTGCACCAACTCATGCATTTCAGAACCTGCTCTATCATCACAGCAAGCAGCACTCCACTCACAGGTGGTAAAGTAGAGAAGTGCATGAAAACCAGCAGGAAAAAAATGGAGTTGCCTGTTTTAGAAACCATGGAAGAAATCTTTGCTCTAGTTTTTGAGAAGTATGTTTTTGTACACGTGTGACACCACTTTCAACAGCACCGGGTGGGCTGACCTAGAATTCCTTGAAGGAAGGGAAGCATTGAGCTGACTTCTGCAAAAAGCCCAGCTCTTCGGGGACAGTTAACCTAGAAATTCACTGAGCTCCAGCTCTCCCCTACAGGAGGCTTGAACATCTTTTGTTCTTCCAGAAACGTTCACTGCACTGTTTACATTTCCAGGTTAAGAAAGTCTGAAAGAAAGAGGCAAGCTTTGGTATCTTTTAAGCAAATTCTCTAGCATGAAACCAGTGAAAAGAAACAGGAAAAACCAGCTTTGGGACAAAGCTGTTGCCATGAGAGTAAGCCATGTTCAAACAGCCACTCACAACTGAGATTTCAGGATTTCTTCCTATGACATCCCAGCCCTGTATCCCACCCAAAACAGACTCAGCTGCAGTTTTCAGATATGAAAGGACAGAGTTCTTTATTTCTCCATGAAACACAGATAAGGAAAATTTCACCTGAAAGGTAATTTTTACAGTTACCAGGGTATGAAAAACAGGAAGCTAAAGGTGTAGCCTTGGCTAAATTCTCTAGCAAATAAAGGCTACAATGAGCCTCACTTTCTAAAGAAATAGTAACAAAGTCAACAAGTATATATTTGCATTAAAAGCAGACATGTCTCTGCAGGATAAAGGCTGCAATATTTCCAGTAGATTTGACACAAACAGCAAAGAGCAGCACTGGGGAAGAGGAAAGTGAAGGGCAAAACCAGAACAAATGGTCAAAGGAAAAAAAAAACCAACACAATAGACAAAAACAATCTAATCCTGTGGTTTGATACAGCAAAACAGAAATTCTGTTACAGCTCTCTTGAGAATTCACAAACTGTAATTTACAGGAATCATGCTCAAAAAGTATATTCTCTTCCAATCAGAGACGGGCTAGCTAAAAGCAGATACTGAACTTAGCAGATAAGTCCTCCTGAATTCTCACTTTGGGGAGTAGCTGACAAAGTTCCATTCAGCACCTATGGGACAGCTTCTTGGTAATTATACATCACGAACATCCTGTTAAATTCCACCTATCACTGCTGGCTAGCTCACTTTGCAGGCTGAGGAGGACAGGGCACAGGAGAAACAAGCAGAACTAATTCAGAACCAAAAGGACTCCCACATCTCTGAGCACAGAAGCTTCAGTATCACTACTGACAGCCAGACTGGAACTCAGACACCCATGAGGATGGATCTCTGTTCTGCAGAACCATGCAGAAATCCATTCAGGAAGGAGGTTAAACTAAATCCTCAAGCACTGGGAACACAGTTACTAACTCACAATATCAAACACTCCCTCTTTTACTTTCCTTCCACCTCTGACCTAAATAAAAACACATCCTGCATCTCTGTGCCACTCCCTGCATTCACAAAGAAACCAGAGCAGCCCAGTCCCAGCAGAGTCCCAAATGGCACAAGGCCATTTTACCTCCTGCCATCCCTAGTGTTCATCCTTCTGCTCCAGGATAGAGGTACATGACAAAGGATGAGAACATCACTTACTGCTATACATAGATTCCCCCAAAAAGCTATTTGCAGCATGTAATCTAGGTGATTTTTTGCACAGGGCAGCATAGGAGGAAGTCACAATTTTTCACATGAACCCATACTCATCGCTTCACACCTTGTGGAGTGAGCTTATCATTGAAGAGTATCAGTTACAACCTGAAGAAAAACTCTCACAAACTCTGTGTTGCACAGTAAGGAGTCGTACAGAGTCTCCCAAAAAAGACATGAGATTATAGTATTTACCCAGTTTCCAGTCACCTACACAGAAATAGATTTTAATGTCACCTCACACGGCTGTCTCCAGCACCAGTACATTGTTCCTTCTTGTCTACACTACCTGCATAAAGCTACAGATGCACAATGAATTAGTTCAGCTGGACTGTGCTAATG